GGACAAGGGTAAAGTGCCATTTCTCTCACACACAGACAGCTAATTCTTAATTGACACCTGTCAGGATAATGGGCACAGTAACAGCTGCTGTCCCCCCTCCTGTTCCTCTGTCAGCTTTAATTCCCTTTGCACAAACAGGCTTTAGCGATGCCTCACTCAGCTGCACATCTCCCAAAATGATCGTTTTTCAAAAAAATTATATCAGGAAGTTTACCCCCCCCCCTTTTAAAAAACCCTGCATTTGGAGCTTTTGTCATTCAGCTTGTGTTTAATGAATATGGCAGATCTTATTAGCATTTTATTAATTTATAAGTATCACACGTACAATTATACGATGCGAATGTTGGCGAGAGGTAGAGTGACGTAATGGTCAATGACCTACGACTGTCACGTAAATCCAAATTACGGCTTTAAGAATCTCGTGCTCTGGCGAGCAATTTACAATAGATATCCAGCTAAATGAATGAATGAATCAACAAATAAGGTGCATAGCTAATCTGTCGTCATTTACAGACGTCAACAGAACACTAGTAAATAGCTACTTAACTTTATGACAAATTAACCTGTGTTCGGTTCAGGGGCATAGTTAGATATGAAGGAATAGGGGGGTTGAGGTTAATCGCAAACTATTCATGAATTAAGCCAAAAAAATACACTTTTATTTGGGCAGGCTAAAAAGCATTTTAGGGGGGCTACAGCCACCTGACGAAGCCCCTGGTTTGGATACTCAGCTTTCTGAGACTGGCTTCATCTTGATATTCGGTGAAGGACTCTACCCAGACCAGGAGTTCACTCAGGAAGGGTCCATCCTCGATTTATGCTGACATCTGTACATCTCCTGCACCTCCCATCTCTAGCTCAGGGGCCACGACAGCAATTTTCCCTCACTTCTAAAACAGAACGCTCAAAAAAAAAAATTTTACTTGAAAATAGCAAAAATTAAAAATAAATTAACAAAAACATTGCCCTCACTTCTAGCTAACAAATTATAATGGAATTTCAGTCACTTCACGCTGTTATTCTCTGTTTTGTCTGGGTAAAGTTAGCACAAAGTCGCCTGCTGAAGGCCGCCCAAGTGACAGTCGTGATTGGCCTTCTGGTTAAACACGGTCAGATAAATAGCTTCAGCGCTCTAATACCCCAGCGTGTGCAGCCACACACTTGGTAAACTTAAGATCCATATTTCTGTGTAAAGCAAGCCGATCGATCTTTATACATTCCCTTTCCGCTGCCTCAGACGCGAGGAGGTTACGCGACTGGAGCAGGAGGGAGGTTTGTGTCTGCACTTTGATTTCCTATACTGAACTGGCACTACTCCCAAATGCAAATGAAACTATTACTTTTAAGAGGTAGCAGCAAACGGCTATTGACTAAACAGGTCAATGTCACCTATTAACAAGAAAATTTAAACTCCAATTTAGACAGAGTCTGCACTCTGGGGAATCGGACGTACCACAAGAAAGCTTCTGTGAGTCTGGAGTAATTCTATCATTCTATTTTTTATTTTTTTTTTTGCAATACAAGAGGAATGTGAGGTATTACCTGGTAAAAAAAAATGTTGATAATGAAAAAAAAGCACAATTTCAAAAATAATTAAATGGAAGAGGAGGCAATGCCGTGGGCCTGCACTGTGATGGGAGAAGCTGGGAGAGGGGCCTCTAATTGTTCCACAACAATAAACAAGACCGCTTCCCGGGGACCCTCAGTGGGCCAATCAGAGAGAAAACAGCAATCTGCTAACAGCCCAAGGCCTGACACAAACCGAGAGATTATTTGATCATTTTATTTTGCATGGCATATACCCCCCCCGCCCTCCCAAATATTGCACGATGCTCAGTTGTGGCTGTGCGGGTGAAGTCACTAAGAGTACGGTCTCCGATAGCACATCCCCAGTTAAAAGGGACAGAAATCTCGGCCACAACAGAGTTCATTATGGTAATAACGTGTGACGGCTTCATCGTCCCCTTTGGGAGGGACAGGAAAGTCAGCTGGTCTGTAGCAAGAAAAAAAAATATTCCTGGGAACTGTGATTTTTATTAATCCTTTACTGAAAAACTTTTTATGGGGATTTTCTATTTTATTCATTTTGGTGGTACAGAGTCAGACGAGACCGGATATCTGAAAATGAAAAATGTAGAAGGTCACGTAGAAGTTATTACACGCATGCGTTTGTACATACTAGAGACATAGAGGGAAAACAAATTGTGGGATTTTAAATGTGGCGAGATGGGAGGCAGAGAGATGCATTGCTGGCCACGTAAAAGCCGGGATTACCGAGGTCATTAGGCAGCGTCGTCTTCACGACACGATTAGTAAGGTAGCGAAGTCCATTTGTCACCTGAACTGGCAAATTGAGTTAATGCTGCACTACAGGCTATAGGGACTGCGTAATATCAACCTGATTACATCAAAGCAGCTGCAGACTTGACACCTTACTGAATTTGTCAGCATTAATCGTTGAGCTTGCCACGGATCCATCAGCATTACAGTTAATTGGAGACCTTCTAATGAATTCCGTGTATGGACCATACCTTTTTCCCTAGGTAATTAAGTAGCCCAGTAAACATCACATTTACCCAGTCTTAAAAGCAGATCCAAGATTAACAGCATGTAAACAAACTTTCCTGACTTCTCCCGTCCTCGCCTGCAGGTTACCAGTACCGAATGAAGCAGTCGGTTAAGCAGGGTTGAAAGCGCACTGATATAAAACACAGGTTATTAGGGAGTAAATATGTTGTAAACATGAGGAAAAACAAGCCATTTGGGTTGCTAGGGCCCAAGTAAGGTGTACATTCTGATTATCGGGGGGCTATGAAAACAAATGACTGCAGCACGAACATCGAGAGAGAACAGCACGCTAGGCCCAGACAATGCGTCCGGCGTCACAGGCGGGAGGGCTACGGAAACGAGACAAAACAAAACCCAAACAGAATATGGCAGACCGGCCACGCCAAGGAGGCCCCGTCTCGGAGGAGGCCATAATCACCCCCGCGTCCTCCGGGACCGCTTAATTCACAGCAGAGGTCACGTTGGCCAGGTCCAAGATCCGGTCCATTCCTGCAGCAGACGAGGCCCGTTTGCGCGCCCTGCCAGCGCCACCTGTCTGGTGTCGATTCACACGCCAAGGCACGACCTTTCGGGGGATGTGTTCCGGTCCCGAAAAATACACACGGCATCTGAGTAACCATGGCGACCTTTCAGGTAAACGCATCTTGTGGGATTGTTGATTAAGGGCATTGAATGTGCACTAGAGGAAGTAACGGAAACAAAAGGGCTGCCAACTTCTGGTTGACCATTAAAGTCAATGATGTATATGCCTGTCATAATAGAGACATATACGTTGGTTTATGGGGGGGGGACACCTTGCTCTGATGGGTTGATTTCAAGTAGGAACTGCCAAATCAGATGTGCCATCACGCCTCAATTTCTAAACCCTTCATATAAAAACAAACACAAAATAAATACAAAAAACGCCATCAAAACTGGAGTGTTTGACATTTAGATGTGCCGAATCCACCACCCAAACCTCTGGCTATTTTCTCTACTTCTTTCCTGAGAATATCCGTACACCTGTCTGTCAAATAAAAAATGAATACATAAGTACACTGAGCGTCCCTTCGCACTCCTTTTAAAGACTCGTGCCCTTCATCTCCACCGAATATCTCGCACGATAAACCCTCCGTATTCTAAGACGTGTCTCTTCGGCCTCATGTTAAGTCTGCTTATGCTACACGTTAGAAAATCTGCTTAAAATTCTCTATCGGTCTTTTGTTCAACTCCACTTGTTAACGCCTAAACTTCAAAGGAGGCCCCTTCATTAGCTCGGACCTACAAATCCCTGTCAGTCATTTACATTTGTTAAAAAAAAGGAGGGAGGGGGGGGGAGGTTCATTTTTAAGTCCAGGTCACTGAAAGCTAACTCGATCGAATTAAAAGTTAAATCTAAATATTAATTACAGTGCCATGTACAAAATAATTATTAAAATGAAAAATAAAAACTACACAAAATCTTTAAAACAAAATACAAACAGACAACAACTTTCGCAAAGGCTTGTTAATACAATGTTGTCGCCGTAAGAAAAATATGAGAGCAGGGAGATGTGCGTGTAGCCAGGACGACAATGAATGGACGAGGGCAGCCTGAGACACTGACAGAAAGGTTACTGTACTTCTATTTGGGATTTACTTCGGTGAAACCTCCCTCCCTCGGTGTTTTCGCCGATGAGTAACGAGAAAACGCAATCAAAATTAAAAATAATAACGATAAAATAAAAACTTTGATGTATTTTTTTGCATCTATAAGCGGGTGAAAAGTCCTTCACACAACCAAAATTATGACGTGTGTGCATATTTTCAAAGCCTGTGATTTACCGGGGTTTACGTATGTGCAATAAATTAATCAAATATTTGTCATGCCAAATGATCAGATGCAAGCCAAAACACGGCCTCTTGTAAAACTTAAAATTATATTTTATGTTCTTCATTTATACCCAAAAGTATACACACCAATTGAATTTTAAGTTATATACACATCACACTTAAACTGTTGATCTTTTTCAGTTTAACTTGCCATATCGTTTATACGTTTTATCTTCGATTTTTAACAGGGCACACTGGGTGTAAGGTGAATCCGCTTATGTCAGTGTTTCATCGAAGAGTAACATTTATCTGCTCAGGTAGTTTGCGAAAACACACAGTTGTATAGCATAGTACACATAAACCTACATAACAAACACCTGCACCAATTCAATATCAAAGCGAGCTGTAAATAGGGTTCAAATAAACCTATTAAACACACAGTGTAATGTTATGGAACTGAGCAACGGAACTATTTATTATTTCGGTCACATTTTAATTATTCGCGCTCCGTTGTATAAGCAGGGTCTCCTTTGCTTTTAAACAGATAAATAAATTAAAATATGGGTCAGTTATAAGGAATATGCGGGTTACAGGATGTACGGACAAAGTGGATTTTGTAGGAGACAATGAGTTGCCCTTACCTGCCGACCGCCTGGGCGCTTGCTGCTTTCTCCTCGGCATACTGCTGTCCAAGACTTTCCACAGGACTTTTCATGCAGGAATCAAAATAATTGGCGATCGAGGAAGGAAACCAGTGCAACAAAACATATATAGAAATCGATGCAAGTTTCTTCTCTTGGTGCTTCTTTGAGTAAATATTTAGTATCGATGTGTATTGGAATCGTTTCAAAAGGATGACTTAAGTCCCCAAGTCGATGCAAGTTTTTTTTTTTTTTTTAATGTTTTTTCTTTTTTTTTCCTTTTATAAATATTGATATAAAGGTAACAAATTACAAAACACCTTCTGGTGGTATTACTAGATAGCTACGACGTGATGACTTCGCCAACTCAGAGCATGTTGACCGGGGAGAGACACATCTTAGCGTATCAGTTTAATGGCAGAAAAATAGACAGTCATCGGAGCTGAGTTTCACTCCCCCTGGTCTCCATCGGAAAAGCTCAGCCTTGGGGTAATACTTTGACGTCGCGTCTTCTTTCCGGGAAAGAAAGAGATAGCTGTTTTTAAAAATAATAATAGTAACAATAACAATTAAAAAACATCAACAACTCCCACATGAGAAACAATGTTTTACATTGTATTTCCGCCTTAGCGCTCTTCCCAAGTTAAAGCTCTGCGATCTGGGAAAGGCAGGGAAAGCAGAGACGGGCATGAGAGGGTGAACGGCAGTCAGTCAGTCACTCCGAGATCAGACAGCCTCTCCGCCGGTGAGCACCTTCGGTCCTTCGGATCACACACTCGCCTTGGCTTTACATTGTATCGACACTGATAAAAAATGACGCCGAGAGCCCCCCGACCCCCTGCTCCAGGTACATGCGGCCACTTGATGTAGTGCGGAGCCCGCAGTTAAAGGGGGTCCGGATGAAAAGCGCACGTCCACTCGCACGCAGGGACGGACTTGGACTAATTGGTCTTATTTGAAACTCCGGGGAGCGGATCGGACCGGATCGGGCTTCGGGTCTTCCTCCGTGAAAAATGCAGCGCACATTCAGGGTTGCAGGAGCGCCTCAGACAGCCTCAACTGATAGACAGACGCATCGAGTCGGTCCCCCTGCTTCACGTTTACTCCACCCCTCGCTACGAGCGTCACCCTGACAGTCAAACCTACCTGTCAATCTTTTTAATTGTCTTGTTTTTTCCTTGTAACTGAGCGATCCGACAAAGGGAGAGCGACACTCACCGCACATGTGGGACGTGCTCGCCTTTCCCGGCCATGCAAATACTTTGCATTTTTTACGAACCTGTTTCATTATTTTACGTGCCATTGTGTTTTATAGCCACTGTTGCTGGTATTGCCGTTGTAATTAAGGGTGTACACGTAATAAACTTACAAGTAGTACTTGCAGTAATGAGTAGCCGTGGTGATACTATATAGCCACAATCAACAAAATAAACAAAACTACAATACAATAAAGCTGACTTCACCTTTATAGTAAAAATGGGCTGATGCGATACTTTTTGGTGGCATTCTGCTGTTTACCCTAAGATACAATGCTGTCAATACCGAGTGTTGAATATGAAGGAGAAGCTTTTATTTTGTAAGCTGTGGCGTTGTATTTTTGAACAGTTCATATTTTCGGCAATATTTTGACCTTAAACACCGAAGCCGCGCAGGTGAAACACGGTGCCGGGGTACATTTCACACTGCGGGCCAGGATCAGCACGCTTCCTCGCAAGCCGTGCTTCCCATTGTCCCATCAAAGACCCCCTCGCTTGCACTTGTGCAAGGGATCGCTTTCCAAGAGTGCACATCGCCACAGCCTTTATCTGGCGATGATGCAGGAGCTAACAATGGGAGCTGCAAGTATTTTGAAGGATGTGTGAACTGGCCGCGCTGAAAAAGTGGGCAGCACTATTTGCATCCTTAAAACGTCTTTCCAAGACTGCTGGGGAAAAAAATGGGCTGCTGGAAACTGTAGATTGATTCGTTACACCTTACGAGGAAGTGACTATTTCGCACGGGAAGGGGAGGGACTCCGCGCGCAAGTCCGCGAGCGCATAAAGGTTTTGTATGCTTGTGCACTACTTATTGAACAATTGGACACATCTGCAAATTTAGGAACATATTGCCAGAAGTGATGCAGTTATTCGGTAAATATTCTGGAGTACACTAAGTTAATAACATAGGTGTATTTTAAGATATTGTATTAAATCAGCAAAATTAACAACGAGCGCTGCATGCAACCAATGCATAGTGCCCATTAACTTTGTTTTTTTTTTGTCTCTCGCTCTCTCTCTTTCTCTCTGTTGGTGCAATGCCCTTCTGTGTTTCTAGTTAGTCCTCGGTGGGAAATGCGGAATAAGAAAGAAAAGAACACTTTGGACGCCAGTGAGATTCGGTCTATCGTAGACGTATGGCACTACACCCCACCTCTGGATATCGCAAAGGCTCGTCAGCACCTAGGCTACACCAGATTTAGTGAAAATTTCAGTGAGGCAGTCCTTGTGAACGGTTCATGTCCTGATACCTGGCGATTCGCGGACCACTTAATAATTTGGTGAGTTTTTATACGTTCTGATTTGTGCACTCTGTAAATCGATCTAATTATATATTTTTCTTTTTGTTAAAAAAAAAAAAAACGCAAAATACTAAATGCACTATCGCGTACGTATTTACACTTAAAATACTACTATTCTGGTGTAATGGATATGGGAAAAGCTTACCCATACTATAATTTATGTCCAGAAATAAATCCTTACCTCTTTCATTGCAGTACTTTCTTGAGTCATTGCCAGTTGCAATCAAACCTATCATTTATGCAGAGTGGGTGTTAGAGGGAGATAATAATGTGGACATATTTCCAAGTTCCGCCTCAACATCTGTCCGTCTATCCATCCCAGCATATATTTCGAGCTGTCTGTCTCCACTGATCTTTTCTTACGTCACCGACCTGCCATCAGAAACTCGGCAGGAAGCAGATCTGGCGCGGACGCACGAAGCTGTTCAGAAACGTCTTTTTTTGCACTGCAGCAAAATTCAATATACCTAGGTCCATTAACCTTCTTAGATCAAGGCATTGTGGGGTAACATCACAGAATTTTGCTCTCTTTTGAGAGCTGATTCGGTGCCCTATTTTTTTACACTAAAATCTAAATAGCGCCAGTTTGTTGTCAACAATCAAATAAATGTTTTATTTATGGTGCTTTTTCCATTATTCAGCGACGGATGTTATGCGTTAATTTTAGACTGTGCTAAATGATATAGAATTTGTAGACTTTATTTAGACTAACTTTTTATTTAATATTAATATAACAGCACGTTAAAGTTTAGGCACGTCGCTGTTATTCCCAGCTTTCAGAGGAAGAGACATTGATAAAGAAACTCAATGGAAGTTGGAATTTATTGCGTTTTTCTATTGAAATTGTGTGCCTGAGCGTGATGTCTTAAGCATTATTATTAGAATCTTTTATATCATTCATTAATACATATAAATACTTTTATTTCGTATTTTCAATATATTTACAGACATGACATATACTCTTCAGAAGCGCACGAAAATATGCTGGCCTATTCGTAATACATTTTAATAAGATAAACTGTCTAAGGAATTCAGAGGATTAAAATTACCATAAAATTGTAAAGATGGAATATAAATCCGGTTTATTTTAGAATTAGTAGGATTTAGTCGTTGTAGCAATTAAAATGGGTGTAATCAAATGCTCACGGTCGTGTAAAATACGCATCGCTGTTACACAGACTTATAACCTTTGTTTCACCTTTTGGGAGTTTGAACTAAGAAGTGGATAAAGCCTGGTGATCGTGGTCAGGGGGTCTCTGTTCATTATAACACCTATACCTTTTAATTCAGCTTGAATATGCTTTACGAAGCAGGCACACAGAGGCAAACCCTGTTCTTCAACCTGCATATAAACTCCTTTGTCCACCTTTAGATGGAGCGTCTGTGGTGTTTCTGAATTTGCTCTGTCAACCGTGTCGTCTGCTTGACTCACTTAAAAATAATCTTCTTAAAAGATATTACGTTTTTTATTGTTATTTCTATGTTTTTATTCTGTTTTACCTAGAAGTCTTTGGGAGCTTTTTCTTTGGGTGTCCAACTTCTCTTAATTTGCAAGGGCCTGCGTAATTCAGTTTTTTAGCCATTTCCATTTAAGGGACATTGTTTTGGGAACTCACAGTAATTAAGTAAATTAGTATAAACATGACTGTCCCAGCTAATACACTTACGAACACAGTGCTTTTGAATAGCATGCAGGCCTGGAGTAGTTTATATTTAAAGGGCCCATGCACGAATAAATTATTGAGAATATGACACGGTACTTGTTGGTGCGCCACTATAATATCCTAATTCAGAGCCTGTTTGCAAACTCTTTTTGTCTCTTAACGTTGTCTCAATGCCTCTCGCTTAATGCTTTATATATTTATCCGAGCGAAGGCAATTAAACATCGGCTAGTGGAAAACCCAAGAAAAAGTAAGCGGACAACTTTCCAGATTCCTTACTAAGGCGAACATTTACCGTGAACTCGCACATTTAAGATGCCGGGATAAGTATTGAAACAGCATATTTACAAATAACTGCTTTCTATGGAAGAAAACAAAGTACAAGTGTTGTACTTTTCGGAGGGGGGTGTTACACATTTTTGAATTTGAGTAATATATGATTAGGCCTAATAAAAGTTTTTTTTATTAGTATCATTGTTCTTTACTTTGGTGCTCTGCCATAATAACAATCACATCCACTTTACATACATTTTATCAGACGTTAGGCCTATTGCTACTGAACAATAATCAATTTTTTCTTATGTACCGCATTGTCCGCGGTATTGGGTTTTATTATTTTTATCGTCATCTGAGGCCGAATCATGCTTATTATTAAGAAAAAAAATCGTTAAAATGGAAAACCGGGTACAGCGTGTTTTATTATTTTTCTAAAGTGATTACGCTATTTTGTAAATACAGGCGATATCATAGTAAGTTATACCGGTGATTAATGGACTTTAAATTAGACTTTTGGTAGCCTCCTAGTTTACCAGCTTTCTACTAGTATCTCAGCGCAATGGACGACACATACTCTGAAAAATGGAGCAGGTATTAGGATATCGTTTTGGTTTCCGCATATACATATATGTCCATTGTGGTCTCTTATAGGACGGATGTTTGTATTAACATCTGGACACGCGCATCTCCCATGCAAGCGCCTCTCGTCCCGAGCTGACTTACTGACCGAAGACTTTTGCAGCGAGCAGAAGAAAGCTACAAGCGAGTCTCTGGAGACATTTGCAGCCTGCCCCGCCTGGAAAAGTCTCCACCATTGTACATAAGTAGAGGAAACCAGTGAAATCTCTACTGACCCTTAAATGTTTTTTAAATCCCTTACAGACAAATTGCTTACAAATTTGTGGCTAAGATAAAAATTAGCCGGCCGGCACGTATTTTATTTATTTGGAGTAAATTTAGTTTCAAACCGCAGTGTGATAAACGTCATGTTGTTTCTGTTTGCGCGTTATTTATTTATTTTAATGGAAGAAAGAAGCTTATTATAATTTAGTTTAAGGGCTAGTATATCAACAGTTATATGAAAAAAAAAAAACTGTTAATGGATACTGACATTTTTTTTAAATCATTGACAATTAGAAACATTACAAACATAAGTGGTTTTTGAAGATGGGTAGATGCAACAGAACTGTCATGTACATTGTTCACTGGCAACATAAAATCCTGAAAAAAACAATAACAACAATAACAAGCAAACAGACTTGATGTAGTGAGAAGACATGTTGGCATTAGAGGCTAATGCACGTGCTTTGTGTTAAGGTGTGAAGCTCCCGCCCCCCACTGCCGGTTAGAGGCGTACATCTCGGCCGCTGACTTGGGCTCTCCATCACAGCTTGGCACTGCTGACTGATTCTCCTGTTTTACCCCAACGGAAAACTGGCTCTGCTCGGAGGTGGAGTTTAGCTTGTTTTTATTCTTTGTTTCCTGATAATTTCAGCCATGGTAAAATTACAGTTAGCATGGATCAGTGTGGGATGTGCAGAGGACAAAAGAACCTACATTTATTATACGCAGTTAATATTATATATTCTATTTCAATTTACTGAAAAATATTGTATGGTGATTATTACTATACACTGTATTAATACTATATTCCTTAATTCCTTACTCTCTTGAAATGTGTTATATATAAGTACAGCGGGGCTGAAAATGAGCAAGCAGAATTAACAGATACCATTCTCCCCACAGTCACATTTTAAAGGCTGATCTGGCAATTTATCAATGATTTTTTTTTTCCCACTCCGCCACTGGCTTAATTGGAATATTTTAATTTCTGCAGAAAGTCGCCTGTCGTCCCTTTACTGCTTTGTAAGCCGTCTGTATGTCACACAAAGATGCCACAGCACGGATGCTGAAGGACGCAATAAATAAATTACAGAAATGTATTTACAGCCACGGGCACATTTCTATCTAGGAGAGCAGCTCACCAAAGACAAATACTGTACCGGGATGAAAAACTGCGCTCACTGCTTTGTGTCTCAGTCTACAATGAGTCCTTATGACACACAATGCATTCTGTTTTGATGCACCCCCCGTGGGCCAGAATTACACGAGGAATTTTCCGAAGGGAGGGAGAATCGCTGGCAAAATAAACTGGAGTGTCTTGAGTCCCGTTGCGGTGGATGTGGAGAGAGGAGCTACAACTGAATGCTCGCGCTACACGTCGAGGGACACGCACGTGCTCGACTGTGATGGAGAACAAGAGAGATACATAATAATAAAGAAATGCTCTTAAGAACCATGCTTTCGCTTTTTTGCCGGATATTTTCTAACTGTCACGGTGTTCTTATACTATAGTATTTTCATCTGTGCGTTTCATGCTTGTGACACTAATGGTTTTTGTGTATGTATGTATCTCTGTCCCCTTTGGCATGTAGATTTGTAGGCCCCGGTGTGCGGAAGAGGCCCTTGCTTCCCTTTGGAGGAGGTCGTCTCCAGGGGATCAGGATCGGACTCCGGGGGCTATAGGTGAGGCGGATGGACTTGTCCTGAGTGCCAGGGGTGGCGAACGAGTGGGTGGGAGATGGAGGGACTAAAGGATGCGTCTGCTAATTATGGACCCGTGCGAAGCGCCAGGAACCGTCACGTACATTGAGGCAGTGTCAAAGGACGGGGGGGGGGGGGGTGGACTTAGAGACGACCTTAAGACTGGCATGTGCGACTGGCCCGTCGACCGTTCATCACCAAAACGACTGTGGGCCTTTGAGAGGAGTCATCCGGCACTACAGACGCAAGCCTAGCTAGGAAACGGAGACTGACCTCCATCAGTTTTTAATCACAAGGTACCGCGATCCGGCACATAGAACGATCCGGAGGCCTTTTTTTTTTTTTTTATCTAGGGCAGGGCAGACAGGCATCGTAAGAGATTGTAAGGACGGCTCAACGTGGAGGAGGCGGCCTTCACAGCGCGACGCAGCTGCTTTAACAAAACGCCACACGGCGTGTTTGGAAACGTAAATGGGGCGCTGGTGTTTAAGCGGGGATGGGAATGATGAGGGGTCACCGGAGCCCTGGGCCTCGGGGCGTAGGGCGGCTGGCAGGCCGTCGCCGACCAACCCCACCCCC